AAGGGTCAGGAATTTATATCAGATTTAGGCTAAATGCAGTGTTTAGAAATGAGCTGTGTGACATTGAAACACATGTCTATATTCTTTCTGTTTATGCAAAGAAGAAGGCTAGGCTACAATTCTGCTTCCTTATATACTATGAGTTACAAAAGCAGGAAAAAGATTGGCTTATAGTCACTTTCAAATCCCAACATAAATTTGATAAGGCAGAAAAGAAATTTCTTTATACTGCTGTGAAACAGAGGGATAAGCATCTTTATTAAAAACAAAAGTACCACATAATTTCAACAGCAATTAATGGCTACATATATTGCCATGTTATTATACTAAATACATAATATTTCTTAATATTCTCTTTTTTATACAGCAAAGCTCATCTTTATGACAACTCAAAGAGAAGTATGAAGAAGTATACAATTAAGCTGAACATCAACTAACATCAACTGAATATTTACCTCAGTGTAATTCCATATTCCTTCACAGTTCAATTTTGTTACATTATTATCAGATGAGCTGGCTGGATAAGTCAGTGAGTTAGATAAGGAGGAAGGAAATGGTCAAATCGTTCCGAGTACTCTCTACAGTATCTAGAAAAACCTGAAAAGAATCACCATAAGTCAGAACTGACTTGATGGCACATGGCTTTTCTTACTATTATTATTTTAAAATTATTTTCCAATCCATATACTGTATTTATGCAACAGTCATATATTGACTTCAGTAGGATCTCCTTCTGTTAGTCATATTAGGGGAGTGCAAACTGCTTCTTGAATGCAGTCCCATACATTTTGCATGTATTTCTATGAAAAAATAAATTACAATAAGAACAAATGGGAGAAAGGAATACAACTGTAATTTATCCTGTATCATTAAAGAAGGCTGATCACACCGAAGAATTGATGCTTTTGAATTGTGGTGCTGGAGGAGACTCTTGAGTGTCCCGTGGACTGCAAGGAGAACAAACCTATCCATTCTGAAGGAAATCAACCCTGAGTGCTCACTGGCAGCACATATCCTGAAGCAGAGGCTCCAATACTTTGGCCATCTCATGAGAAGAGAAGACTCCCTGGAAAAGACCCTGATGTTGGGAAAGCGTGAAGGCAAGAGGAGAAGGGGACGACAGAGGACGAGATGGATGGACAGTGTCATTGAAGCTGCCAACATGAATTTGACCAAACTCCAGTGAAAGACAGGAGGGCCTGGAGTACTCTGGTCCATGGGGTCATGAAGAGTTGGACACGACTTAACGACTAAACAACAAATGCATTGGTTAATTAGTTATGTGTAATCCAGTTGAAACTGATGTATAGTGCTTTGTAGGTAAATGAGATACTTAAGCTCCAGTAGCTTCCATGGCCAAGAGGGGATTTGAATCCTGGTCTCCAAAGTTCTAGACCATCACTCTATCCAGTATACCACACTGGGTACTAAATTCGTTACTATTACTTAATTCATTCTAAAAGGGTATACTTTGATTTGGATTCCTGCATTGAGCTAGAGGTTGGACTCGATGGTCTTATACGCTCCTCCCAATTCCATTATTCTATGATGCATTCCTAAAATTGACAGATACTGAAAAAGTGAATGAAACTTTGTACTGTATAGAGAAAAGGGATCAGGGAGAACTTTGTAACTGCCCAATCTGCAAAACTTTTCTCAGGCAGTGCCTTGCTTAAGAAATTGTTCAGAAGTACTGATTCAGAGAACTCTGAGTTGACAAGATATGACCATTGCCTAATATGAAGAATATAGCAATGGGAACATAAGATGATAAATTGCATACTTAAAAAAACAGCAGATTTTTATTACAACATATGAAATTTGCATGCCGTTTGGATGGAAAACATTACACATAGTCTCAACTTTAGAAGACAGAGTCTCCACTATAATCAAATGTAGAATGAAAACAAATGATAAATAATAATAAAAGAAGGATGAATCAAATGCAAAACAGTATGCCTGGGAGAGCCAGAAATAAAATGTAGCATTTTTTAAGCAACCATCCTAATTTTAACAATTAAATTAGCTAATTACACAGCTATTCCTAGTTAGGTACTATGCAACATAATCTTAAAACATTTTACTTGGAAGTAAGATTCTATTTTCAATGGAGTTTACTTGTTTATCAGTGTTGAAAGGACTGCACATTTAAAGGGTTTAAAGTTGAGGTTAAAATTCTGAAGCATATATTTAGGCTTTTGATGGTTCTTTATTAATGAAAACATAAACCTCTGCACTGGAAATTTACGTGTGATTTTGAATAAATCAAGACATTGAGGTCCAAAACCTTAGTGACCAAGATAAAACCATCTCCCATTTATTTCAAAGTGGCTTGATATTAAAACCTTCCCGGAAGATTCTGCTTCAGAAGAGGAACACTGAAAAATATTCAACTGCTTGCACTTGGCATTTACAATATAATTTCGCCCGCTGGTCTGGAGAATTTTGTAATCATGTATGGAAAACTTATACTGACTTGATCAGAGCTTAGAATTATTATTATTTTTTTTTGAAACTAGAATTTCCCGAATCCCCCAGTGAGCTCTCCAAAGTAGTATTTTTCAGATCTGAATTGAAGGGCATGACTGCAATGTTCAAATAATGTGAGAGTTGTGTCATGTCATGTATCTTTGTGTTGCTGTCCTCATCCTCATGGGGCAACCTCAATTGAACTGGCTTGATTTGGTGTAGAGAACTACACCACTCTTTAAATGGCCTTAAATAGACCTAGGGTTGACACTTTGATACGCCCATGAGTCTAGACTCCGCTTGTATTCTGTCCTTGTCCATAACCACCTTGTCCTGAGTTGATTTCACCCCATTTTTTATTCTGAGTGACATAGTGCTACATCATTGTTGCAGACAGAAAGATTCTAGCACCTATGTGATGCAGCACTAAAGTTGAATGGTTTGTAAAAAAATAAAAGAAAAGGGAAATAGTTTGGACAGCAGGCACAATAAGAGCTGCTAGATAGCTCAGTGGTTTAGGTCCCTGGCAGTGAAGTCAGAGGTTTGATTCCCCACTGTGCCTTCTTGACAGGGACTGGACTCAATGATCCATAGGATTACCTAGTTCTGCAGTTCTCAGATTATATTATATAATTGCTGAGTTCCTGATGGGACAGCATCCTGCACCACCTCAAACACAACATAAAGACATCAGCACAGGGAATGTCCCTCACCCAAAAATATGACATGGCTGTCCACACAACCAAAAATTGATTTTAAAAACTCTACAATTAAAAATAAACCTCTTGACAGGTGTTCAAAAATAATCATTTCCTCAAAGAAAAGTGAGTTTTTCCCAAGCTTACAATGATGCTGTGTAACTGTGAAATTTAAAATTGATTTGCATCATGCTAAACCCATAATAATTGGGAGGAATATAAGGCAATGTCGTCTCTCACCCTAAAACACACACACATATTTCAGTCAGGTCTCCCTGAAAGACTTGCATTAATTACTTTCTGAACTCCAGTATCTCTTGCAATTTTTTCTTCCCACCATGACTCCCAAAGAAGTACAAAACTTCATGGGAATAATTTATTTACTTTTTATTTATTTATTCATAGCATACTCTTTACCTTGGAAACCCAGGGCTGGACAGATACATATTTTAAAAAACCCAGAACAAAATAAGAGAACAATATTAAACTATAATTACCATTTATGCTAATCCTGTAATACCTTCATTGCATGGAGAGAGGGGGACAGATCATTCAGGCTTGGGTTATATCATTCAGACCTTGGTTAAAAGGTGGTTCTTGACTTGACAATAATGTAATAACACAAGTTTCCAAAGGCATCTAGTAGGAGAGGGACTACCATGGAGAAGACCCTTTCATGTACCACTGCCACACAAGCCAGTAAAGGTAACAGAGCTTCTTCTGCCAGCCTGGACTGCTTACAGGAAAAGCAGTATTCTTTCACATATTTGGGTTATTTGGGGCTTTATATGTTAAAATTAGCATCTTAAATGGCAAACAGTACAATTCCTTTAAGATTGGAATGATATAAATCCTATCTGTCAATAACTGGCCTGCTGTGTCTAAATCACTTACAGCTTCTGAATCATTTTTAATCTCCACATAAAGTACATTGGAAGAATCCAAGGTGTAGGTTATGAGATGCATCACTTTCATGTAAAGATAAAATGTTATACTGAAGAGGAAAGTAAATAGGACATGTGCCAACTGAATAAAAGAGCCTTCTTGGAGGCTTGATTGCCACTGACGTTGGCATCATTTCAGCAATAAATCAATAAGTACTTATGTATTAGAGTCTTTGGGGATTAAGGATTGTGGCCTGTGCAGGCTTTAGTGTAATGTTTTTAATGTTTGAGTGTTTTAACTTTTTATTATTTGACACATTAAATCATTGCTTATCTCCTTCATTCCACAGCCATCAGTTTACCCTCTTTATTTCAAAGCCATTAGTATATCTTTGGGTTAGCTTAAACTGAGTCTAGTAGCAAAGTTGTTGCTAGTCATCACTGAATTACACTTGAATAAATACAAAGTTAAGAAGCTAAGATTATAATTACATATAACTTCAAGTTAGGGACCTATCTTGTACTGTACATAATGTAAACTCCACTGATACTATACCCATGCAAACAGAGAAGAGTCTCTAAATTTATGAAAGGCTGATGCAGAAATATATTAACTCTGTGATACTTGTGCTTGAACAGAGATTTTGGTACAAACAGCAGAGGCAAGTTTTTCTGGCATGAGGAACCTGCCACTGCCACAAGATAACTTACAACGGAGGGGAAAGAAGTAAAGGGAATGATTTGGGCAAAGGTTACTAGAGCAGACTGCCAGTGGGTCAACAACCACAGTTGCACAGTGCAAACAATCCCCACTCCTACCTTTGCAGGAGTATGGGTAATAAAAGTGATTTGCTAGTAGGATACATCAGGTACCACTGTAGGAAAGGAAGTGGGATGATGACAAATCACTTAACTACCCACTGCTTCTACCAGAACCAGTCCAGCACAGCTAGGCACATTTGGATTTAACTGCATTTAACACTGTATCCCATTTGCTGTTCTTATTCTCCAGATGTTGCTTCCTAAATTTGTGCTGGAATAAATCATTTGTGTCTTCATCTTCTGCCTCAGATATGATCTCCATTTTTTGTACAATCAGTTTAAGGAGCTCATGCTGCCTCTCCATGAGTGTTGTAATATCCTTCAGCCTAAAACACACAAGTGCATTAATTTTAAAAATAATCAGGCTATCACCTATTTACAGTCTTTAAGACAAAGAGAGACATGCCAGATATTTAATTCACCTCTTCTGAAGGGGGTGGGAATTATGAACTTTGGAGTGGCATTGCAATACTTTACTCCAGTAAGGTTTATGGTCTTATCGTTCACAATTCTTTTTCTAAGCTCTTTTACCACTATAAGCAATCTCAAAAACACTACAGCTCTTATAAGAATTGGTCAAAGATGTGCAAGATGAATTCAAGGTGTCTTCCATTCTGCAATGTAAAAATATGGTTCACAATCTTATGTATCTACTTTAAGTTATGAATGGCTCCCTTGAATGCAAACAAAGAGGTTTAAGGTTCAACCAGAATGGTGAAACAATTTTACCATTAATGTTTTAATTGCTTCCTGTTATTTAAAATATTATATGTATGTATTTTACAGGTCAGAGACCGCAAAATAAAGATTGATTGATTTTACCATTAACAAGAAATTCAAGATCATTTTCGAATTCATATAAACCTTAAAACAACAAGTACCTGTATTTTTGTTTCAGTACTTCTAGTTCTAACGATGAGTCGGCATTCTGTGCATCTGTTGCTGTGCTATTGCATCCAAAGCAATACTGGAACACACTCTGCAGAAACAAACCATTGCAATGAAAATGAGAAGTGATAACATGTGAAATTGGACTCATCAAAAACCACACCTAAAAATGTTTTCTAAAATTCAGAAAATTCATTTTATTCTGAATGCAACTCTGACTCTGCTGTATCCCAGTAATGTCACTGCTCAAGTGACAGGATCCAATGCCTCCTTCAAACTGCCTGATTAACCTTCAAGCATGCCCTCCTTTCTGTTTAGCCACTTAACACATTTCCATTCAATTTTTTGATGCCTTGGCAGTGGTACAGACATGGGAAGGAGTGCATCTTCCCTTGCCTTGAGCCCATTCAACCCCAATAACAAATGTAAACAGGGAATAGAAAGACAGGGCTTTGACTTTAATGAGAGCTATTCATTCATTCATTCATTCATTCATTCATACATACATACATACACACACATACACACACACACACACACACACACACACATACATACCTCACCTTCTCCTTAAAAAATACCCCAAGTGATTTACAATAATTAAAAGACAATATTTGAAGCTAAAAAGGAAAGGATTAAACAAACATGACTCTAAGAAACCATAAACAAAAGCAATACCAAAAACATACTCAAAGCAACGAGACACAATAATCCGTTCAAAAACCTTACTTAGGCAGCCGGGCACTGAGGGAAAGCCTGCCTGAAAAAGGGCTTCGCCTGCTTATGGAAGGTCAGCAAAGACGGGGGCAGCCTAGCTTCATGAGAGGGTGTTCCAAAGTCTGGAAGCAGTAACAAAGAAGGTCCTCTTTTGTGTCCACCTTCACACACATGTGAAGGTGGTGGAACTGAGAGAAAGACCCCTCCTGCTGATCTTAACACCCAAGCTGGCTCATAATGGAGACCCCTCCTGCTGATCTTAACACCCAAACTGGCTCATAATGGGAGACATGGGAGATCGTTTGGAGTCGAGCCATTTAGGACTTTATAAGTTAGAACCAACACTTTGAATTGTGCCTGGAAATGGACCAGCAACCAGTGGAGCAGCTGTCATGGGTGTATGTGATCTCTGTAACCAGCTCCAGTTAGCAATCTGGTTACTGTGTTTTATGCAGTGTTTTATGCAGTGTTTTATGCTGTGGTTTATGCAGTCAAAGTAAAACAGAATAACTGCAGAGGCTATAGAGATGCACACAATGGTCATCCCCTCTTCATCCATGACATCTTCATCTTTGACCATGAAGATCTAAGAGACAGAAATAACATTCAGATGAATGCAGCTGCAATCTTCCCTATTGTCAGGAAAATTGACTGAGCTGTCTTTCCATGTAGGATTGTAACTGTTTATTTGACTGTTTATATACTCTCTTTCTGGATAACATAATTGCTGTTGGGGTAGAGGAAGCAGGGCCAAGCTATGTGTCCATTCTTTCAACTCTGTACATAAGGAACTAAAGAACAAATGATTAGTAAATTTGCACTCAAGGACTGTAAACTTTGATGGCATCATTAACAATAAGAAATCTGCCTAGAGTAGCTAAATGACTTTTATACTCCCTTCTGTAGTAAAAGAACTGTGAAAAAAAGTTACTAGTTACTAGATTTATGGCTGAAATTATAGGACCAATTTAGGAGGAATTATTTAGGTAGTTTACCATGAATCCGCAATATCTTGGTCTATTGGGATATACAGTGATAGTTTCTTGGTCAACTCTACTGAGGAACCAGTATGGCAGTTTTTTCTCCAAGTTTGTGTGAAGATTGACCTAAAGAAAATGAATATTTTTTAAACTGGTAATTGCAGAAAATGAAAGTAATTACACAAGATAGTTCTAGCACAATCAGCATGCATTCACTTCTTGATGTAAATGTATGCATGCAGCACTGTTAAAACTGGAAGTCTGGACAGCGCTGATGATGTATTTTTGGAAAGGGTAGGAAATTAAGGCCTAGTAAGCTCAAAACTGATACATTTACCTCTGGTGAGCCAACTACAAAACCCTTTCACACAGATGAGGTTTACAGCACAGTTCCTCAGTTATGCTGGCGGAAAGGATATAATTTAACTTACAGCAGTCAAGTTAATGCTGCTCACTAGCAAGAACCTTAGATATGCACCAGGTAGCCAAACAGGGTTTTGTTAATCAGTAGCAATTAGCCACTTTAAGTTATACCAGCAAAATTACGGAACAGGATTTTTACCAGTGTTTTGCATAAAAATATTTTCATCAAAAGTCCAATCATAAGCACCAGCAGCCTTAATGAAAGGGATTAAAAGAAATTACAGTATAGAAACCTGTCATCACTTCAAAAGCTCCCAAAGTCTATAATCTTACATAGATGCTCTAAGACCTATCAATTTTTCTTGGATTTTAATACAAACTAGGAGAGGAAACTCTTTCCAGCCACTCAAATGTACAAACTTTCCTCTTCTTCATGTCTTCTTTTATTCTCCTTTACCTGCCAGCTTACTTATCTTGCTGCCACTACTAATCTTGACCCACCTCAACATCTTTTCCAGTGGCAAAACTTGGACAAATTACTTTTCCAAGCTTTCACATCAAGTGTTGTCAAAGAAAAAGCAAGACTTCCATACCTAGTACTTGCTGCTAGAGCTAGAGCCAGAGCAGCTAAGAAATAAGCAGGTGAGAAGAAGCTGATATTGAGAGGCTCACTAACAGTCAGAAAAAGGATCTGGCCCTGTTTATCTCTTAACTGGAGGTCTACTGTACTTCCACGTGGTGTGGATTGCCTCAGTGCCAACCAAAGTATTTCCCAATATTTTTGGAAAATGGCTTGACTTACTTCAAACCAAACCAAGGTTACTGGTAATGTTGGTTGGGGAAGCCAATTATTTAACAGATACTTAGGTTTTTGGTTAAACTTGTATCTGTTATATAATATCAGTCAATGTTTTTATAATTTTGGCTGTGCCTAGAGTTTTTGAAAAACAAGAAGAAGAATAGCCCATTCTATATCATGGGAGCTCAGGAAGAGTTACAAAGCTATATAATTTTTAAAAAAGATACTGAAAACAATTTAAAACCAAAAAAAGAGAAAATTAAAACACTCAAACATTAAAAACATCCATCCTATTCAGGAAGAATTACAAAACTGTATAATTTTTAAAAAGGATACTGAAAACAATTTAAACCAAATAACACAAAATTTAAACACTCAGACATTAAAAACATTGCACTAAAGCCTGCACAGGCCACGATCCTTAATCCCCAAAGACTCTAATGCATAAGTACATCTTGACTTAGTGCTGAAATGATGCCAGTGTCAGTAGCAACCAAGCCTACAGGAGAAAAAGCCCTCCCTTGTATTTCCACATGACAAATTCTTGTCAGTGGTAGGACACAGAGGAGGACCTCCCTAGCAGATCTTAAGTAATCCAGCAGGTTTAGCTTATAATGTATATCACTAACCTGCATTGCTATTCTTTTCAGTGCTGCAAACTTTTGCACTTCTGCAATGTCCCCAACAGCCAAACCAATCTATAAAATACAAAGTAGAATCAACACTCATTAGGATTATCATGCTTTCTCCCCACATTTCAGTTCTGCTCCTCATAAAAAATATTTTAACAGGAACTAATTATTCTCAAACACATAAAGAACTTGGTATTTAAAGGCTACCACACAGCACACTATTACAATGCTATTTTTCACTGATGTGAAATATTTATTTACACAGAAATTAAGTAACAAGTAATAAGAGTAACAAGTAATTATCTGAAAAAGCAAAATCAACACAATAATTTAAAAAATATGGGCACGAAATATGGAAAGTGCTACAATATAGTGAATGTTAAAAACCCTGTTAAAGCATTCATCCAATTATAATTAAAAATAGACAAACACAAGCAGCCAGATATTTTAAATAGTGATTTAATGAGAAACCTAAGAGAACAGGATTCATTTTATCAGAAGCAGCCCTTACCAATGAATCAATGGAACTGATCCCCATTGATCCCAAAGGAAACTGGCACTGCATCAAGGGCACCCCCATTAGAATTTAAATGAGGAGAGCAAAGGTTTCTCTTCTTGCTAATCCTGTTTGTACAGATATTTCTGAGAACAGTTGCATGCCTGTTGGACCAAAGGTTGTATCCTTGCATATCTGAATTCTCTGGCTCTTGCTTGTAAAGGGAGGAACCAGTCTTTACAACAATATAATCAAAGCCTTGAAATGTACATATTATGGTTGACTGTGATTCAATAGTTTTGACATGTTACTTTTCTGATCAGGTATGTAGGTAGCAAATAGAGATGGGCACAAAGTGTGGACTATGGTTGGTTAACTGGAACATTTCAGCAGATATAAGCTTCGAAAAGTCACATTCTAGAACTATACTTCCAAAATCCTTCAGTCAATACAGCCACTCAAGAATTGTATTTTCCAGACACAGAGTAAAAGGCAGCTTCCTATGATGCAGTAAATACACTGTGACTAAAAGACAAACATTTCCTGAGCTGCTGTGTACGTATAACAAAACCCATAAACCCATCAATATTTCTCCTTTTCTGCATTAGGGAAAAAATCTATGCAATAAGTCTACCTCAGTAATCGGTATTAAATATTTCTTACCAATAAGTTCATAAGGAGAATTGGAATCAGTAGAGAGAAGATAATAAGTATGAGAAAACTCAGCAATGGATAAGGCAGTCTCTTAGTGAGCAGCGGCTCAAGGAAGGCATCACGATAATTGATATCTCCTAGCATCATGGCAAATGTCTGCATTACAGAAAGGTATGGAGTGCTATATGTTTCCTAAAACAAAAGAAAAAATTAGAGATAAAAGACATCAGTCATGGCATTGTGTGCTAATCATTCTAGTTGTAGACAGAAAGATAAACACAAACACACATATAATCTCTATTTCTCCCCATAATTTATACAAATAAAGCACCACTCAAATGTTATTCTTTTTTTTAATGGAAATCAGAGAAATGGCCATTGACCAGGGTAGATTCAAATAAATGATTTTTGAAAAAAAGATTGATTTAAATTAAAAAAACAAGTACAAATTATATCGTAAAAAATACAATTTTTAAAAATTTAAACCATGACTTAAATTGATTTGATTTAAATCAAATCCAGCCTGCCATTGACTATTGTTGAACATGCATGTGAGTTGCAGGATACGTTAAGTCCAAAGCACTCCAACAGAAGCTTGCCCATTTATTTAAAGGCATTTACAGAATGCTCTTTGTAGGTAGCTGCATATCTCATTTATTTATATGCAATTTATCCTGTTGGTAGAACTATTTCTATCAGTTGACCTATGAAAGGGGTGATTTCTTCTTTCCTTTGCTGTCTCCCTGTGTACCTTCAAAACCTAACCAGAAAGCTGAGAATTCTGGATATAGGCCAATCATAATAATTGCAATAAAACAGGATATTAAAAAAAAATCTGTAAAGCTGCAGGATTACATAACAATCAATGTGATTAACTAAGATTTTTTATTAAAAAAATAAGAGAAATATTGGTTTAAATATTCAAATTTCCTTCCAGCAAATTGCATTTAAAATGCTTGAATGAAATTTATTTACACCTTAGTGACACTCATTACTTCCAGGCTTTTTGAACAAGTGACAAACACACAAGAGTTGTTACTGCACTATTCTTTTCTGGATCAGCATTTATGTAACATGGAATTCTGTATTTCCTGTGAAACAAAACAAAATAATGGAGGCATTTCAAACCTGTGAACCGAGAAGAACATGGAAGCTGAGCCCAAAGGCTAACATCAAGAAGAAGAACACAACACCTATCCGGATCAAAGTCCTCAAAATTTCCCAAAACATCACAACATATATTCCATAATTTTCAAATCTAAGAAGATATACATGAAAACATAATGATTAACATTATTTATTAAATGCAGGAGGTTGGGGATGCATACATGACAATGATTTCCTAGTAGCAGGAATAATATGCTGCAATGAAGTATTTCTAAGTTTATAGTGATGAGTTGCATTTTCTTTCTCACCTAACACTGTTCCAAGCCAGGTATGAAAATTTAGGTATGAAGTTCTGTCAACTAAATTTTGCTGATGGCATGGTCTCACCCATGAAAACGAAATGCGGTGGCACCAATGGAAACAACAAGAGCTTATTTCCCCTTTCCATTGCAGCTTCTCTGTGCCCTTATAGTATCTGAGATATACCTTTAGGGCAGAAGAGGACAAGAGTCCCATTCCCTGATGGATATCCACTTCTATAAAAATGGATGTAACCGATAATACATATACTAAGGAAATCGCTTTCTCCTTCAGCAGCAATATTTTTGGAATCCAGTGAGGAACCAAAGGATTCTGCCTCTATTGAATCCTCACTTTTTGAAGCGGTATCACCTGAGCTTCCTTGGCAGAAATGCCAGTAACATGCTACTGCCTCATTCACCTATCCATCCTTGCCATCAATTGAAATGAGTATTATAACTCCAGCAGCATGTATATTTCCAAAGCTGGGGGATGGGAAGAGGACTACGAGTTTTCCCAGTGTCCCTAGTAAATGGACACTTTGAATCCATGAACACTGGAACTGTAGGGCAGAATTCCACTCCACACAGGACACTCCTGCAGCCCAAATCAACCCATGATGTGTGAGACCCTAGACATGCAGAACTGCTGTTTCCTCCAAACAACTTTTCAATGCAAATCCTGGCTGAACAAAGCTGCCCTGAAGAAATATTCCAGGGAATCTGGACTGGTTAGCTATGCACTAAATTATTTACTCAGCTGAGATTTAACTTCAGCTTAATTACAAATCAGTCTAGTATTAGTTGAAGATAACTCATTCATCTCTGAATTCCTTGGCAAGAGGATCTAGATTTTAAGATACCAGTGATACTTGTGTACTTGATATTTTGGAGCCCTAATATTTTTCAAGGTCTTCCAATAAAATTTAAACTGCTCTGTAAGCACAGAACACAGTAAAATATGACCTACAATACAATAACTTGCAGCTTACAATAAATGGTCCTACTGATGTAAATTCATTAACTGAACCATTCTAACTTATTAAATAAACTTATATTTCAATATAAAATATGCAAAAATATTCTGTATTAGACATTACAGGTGCAATCTTGGAGGATTAGCACTATGGCTTACCTTTGCAAATACAATAAAAAGTTCATCCAAGACAAGAATATAGCAATTGCACCACACTCCCACTGTAATTGACTTGGGAGACTAATAAATAGAGATGATACAAAAATGATGCTTGTAGTATAAATTGTCCAGTCAAGGAGATTGGAATAATCCAACAAATATTTCAATTTCTAGAATATAAACATAGTAAATATTACTATTCATCAGTTAAAACAGATAGATCATCATATTATTTCTGTATCATAATGAAAGAGTATTTTCCTTCAATACGACAGCAGTTTAACAACATACAGTACTAAAAACACTTCAAGAAATGCAAAAGGTCACAATAGTTGAATATACCTGTTGGATTAGTTGTATTATTTCTTTGCAAATTCCAAATACACTCATGACAAAAACCAAGCTCATACACACTTTTATGAAATATGAATTCTGAAAAAGCAAAGGAAGAACAAAACACATTGTAAGAGGATTAATGTAACAAAAGACACTCCTGATACTATTTGAGTGACATGGGATGTTGCCAACTGTACTTCGCATGGTAGATATTAGCAAGTTCTGTATCGCTAAAGAAAATCTTCTGAACTATATTTTGCCTTCAAGAGCTGCATCCACTATAAATTTGAGGTATGAACTCCAGCTTTAATGTTTGCATTTATTTATAGGCCATCTGCAACTGCCTTCCATAGGGTACCTAATCCTAGATGAATGCTTTACCCCATGAACTTCTTATCACTTGGACAAGAGATGTAAGTATATACAGAGTAAAAAACAGTAAACTACAAATTATATTCCCTTTAAAATTTGAAAAGCCCCAGAATTACATGCCTGACAACCATGTGTTAATTTTCAAGAATCTTTTGCTAATCCTATAAGAAGTTAAGAAATGATTTGCTAAATCAAAGTAAGATCTAAGTATTCCCATATTCTAACTCTAGTTAACCAAGTGCTGCTTGGAAGGCTACAAGCCCATCAAGAAGACAACAATTCTCCAGTGTCACATGGCCTAGCATGTTCCTCAGGTTTACTGGATTCAACCACCTTTCCAAGGTAATGAATTAAAATGATACCTGGTTAACAAAAGGTCCTGATCGAACAGTTGTGTTGAAAGACTGTTCTGGTGTATTGATGTGGATGATCAGTAGAGTTAAAGGTATTAAGCCAAGACTATACACAGCAAGATTCATAAGATGTGCTCTGAACCCATAGGCCATCCTATAAAGCAAAATTTTAATGAAAAGCGGGTTTCATAGTGCTATAAAAGGATCATTTTTTCCCTTTCACTAGGGAGAAGCAAAGCCTAAAGTACCCTATTTTAAAATAAGTACCAAAAATAAGACAGGCTCTTATATTAATTTTTTCTCCAAAAATGTATTAGGGCTTCTTTTCAGGGGATTTCTTATTTTTTTATTTTCATGTACAACAATCTACATTTATTCAAATACAATCATGTCATCTTCTTCTGGTTGCTGCACAATGAGTCCCTGTTGGAGGGAGGGGTTTCACTTAACTGGGGCTTATTTTTGGGGTAGGGTTTATATTACGAGCATCCTGAAAAATCCTACTAGGGATTATTTTCAGGTTAGGTCTTTTCCTTAAATTAAAGGCATACAAATAAAATCAGTGATGCTTTAGAGGCAGTGTGGTTTAGTGGACAGAGTGTCAGACTAGGACTAAAAGACATAGGTTGCAATGCCTGCTCATGGAAACTCATGGTGTGTGTGCAAGTATGAATGTGATGTGTGTGTGTGTGTGTGTGTGTGTGTGTGTGTACACGCATGCAGGCAAGTATGAATGTGGTGTGTGTGTGTGTGTGTGTGTGTGTGTGTGTCTGTGTGTCTGTATGTACACGCATGCATGTGTGTTCCTGTGAGACAACAACAAACCATTCTTTGAACATCTCACACACTATGAAAACTCCACTAGATTTGCCATAGCTCAGAAGCAACTTGCAAACACATAACAACAAATAACTAGGTTATTTGCTTGTAGCTGTCTGTATCAGTTATAGGGTTCTTTAAATTCTGGTGTATCTTTTCCATCAACTAGACTATCCTGTCACAAAATGGGTTTTATCTTTAAAATCCTTCCACCACTGAAACTAATTAGAGTAAAACCATTTCTAAATGAGAAAACTGAAATCTTAGTAACAATAGTACATACCATTTCATGAGTAAATATTCTGTGCAGACTGGATGGCTGAGCAGTTCAACACGATTATGTCGTACCATGGCCTAGAAGAAAACAAGATGCCAATATGTTAGCTGTATACTGAATTATGTGCAAACCAGTATTATAACTCATGATTACTTTCTCATGTACCCTGGTTGATGCCTGTGCAAATGCAGACATGTGTGCATTCATGCAGATTTGCGTATGTGCAGGTGCGCATACACCCAAGCAGATATTATTTTAAAGACATATACAGCAGTGAGGTCTTTTCCATGTTTACTCTGCTCTGGACTGAGATATTAATATTGGGAAAGATCTTGATACCCCCTATTTTCCCCTCAGGATCTGGATCCAGATCAGCTCTTTCTGGTTACAGCAGAGAAAGAATCTCCAAATTAGGAGTCTGACCAGCATGGAAAAAACTGCCCAAACCCATCAAAGGGCCACTTTACATAAGCAAACAGGAACACAGGAAAGCATACATGTTGTTTCTGTGAGTAGCAGCAACTATATTGCCTCAATTAGCTGCAATGTCAAAAGAAAAGAAAAGAAAAAGAAAACACACACAGTAGGTCTGAAATCACATTAACATAGCTTACATTTAGAGTGTGAAGTGGCTCATAAAATATTTCATCGTCTTCTTTTATTTTCTTGGTAAGCTTCAGTGGGCACTGAAGATACCGAAAGTTATATTCAACCTATGGAAGTGTGAACCATGAATATCTTAGTTCAATTGTAAAAACAAACTAAATAGCACATTCTTGTATGATATTTACAGAAACATAGAAAAGGTGTAAGTACACTGTTAAAAGCTCAGAAACAAAAAGAAGTGTGTGCCTGTTTACCAGCAATTAAGAAGCAATAGTTCTGACAAATTGCAGGCATACATATCAACATCCTTGATAGATCACATGTTGTTTTCACTGTCTGTTCTTTTGTCCATTACCCACATCTTTGTTGTTACTAGAGCCTTGTGGTACTGTAGATAAGACTGTGTTTACGACCCAGGGTTCAGTCCCAGGTAGGTGGCTCAAGCTCGCTGGGGTGGGGGCAATGTGTAGCCTACTATTCTTCCGAGGTTGGTAAAATAGGTAGCCAGCTCGCTGGGGTGGGGCAATGTCTAGTCTGCATAATTGTAAACCACCCAGAAAGTGTTTTAAACACTATGGGGCGGTATATAAGCAGCACACTTTGCCTTGCTTTTACTTTGTTGTTACGAGTGATTAAACTGCAATACTGCAGCCAAAATTGTTGTTACAAGAAGCCTTGTGGCATAGTGATTAAACTGCAATACTGCAGCCAAAACTCTGCTCATGACCCGGGTTCAATCCCTGGTATACAGCTTGAGGTTCACTCATCCTTCCAAGGTTAGTAAATTCCCTGATATACAGCTTGAAGTTCACTCATCCTTCCAAGGTTAGTAAATTGAGTACCCAGGTTGCTGGGAGGGCAATGTGTAGCCTGCATAATTAAATTGTAAACCACCTAGAGAGTGCTTTAAACACTATGGGGCAGTATATAAGCAGCACACTTTGCTTTTTGCTTTATTCACTGTATACGTCATAAAGTTCCAACTTATAGCAACCTCATACAATTTCCAAGGTATGTGAGATGTTCAATGAGTCATTTATTATTACCAGCTCCCAGTAAGTTTCCATGGCCATGTTGGGATTTGAACCCAGACCTCCTGAGTCTTCATTTCACTGACTCCAACCCCACAGCATATTCTGCCAAAAAAAGTCTGAAAGCCTTCATACTCATGAGAAATTGAGTTACTTTAACAAGTTCCTCTAAATTACATAAATTATTCTTTCTCCATTGTGTAAGTCATTGTTATATTTTCCATTTGGAGCATTCAGTACAGAAGACAACTATGGTAATATGTTGGGTAGATTTACATGTTATGTTAAACCATAGCTTATTATGATGTGAATGTACAAAAACTGATCACAGCATTGCTTGTGCTCATGCATTACCCTTTCCATCTACCTCCCATATCTGGGAGGAGTTGAGAAGCTTTTTGCTTATTGTAGTTTGTCACCTCTAGATTAACGTTAAAATTATGTTAATAGAAACTAACAGTACAAGTTAATTTTATTCGGTCATGAATTGTTTCATACAAGCCAACCTTAAACCATATTTACTGAAGCTGTCTTGTTTAAATGACCATAAGTAAGAGTATGTCTGGTTCCAGATGAAATGGTAAGTTGCAGTTTAACAAAAAGTCTTCAAATTCGTCCCAGCCAGAAAATAAACATAAAGTGATGACGCAAAGCTTAGTGCTGTTTCCTCCTTTTCATTCAATGCACGCCAAATAGCAGCTTAGCAGAATGTATGACTGTAGTGGCTATCTTGGATGAATGGCAATTAAAGGATTGTTGAAACACTATTCCCTGAATGATATATCATTAAATATGGGTTAGTATGACCCAGTTTGGCTCATATGTTAGTTCAGCATAAATTTCCAGTTATCCAGACTTATCTTTCCTACTGATAAAAAAGTAATACCTTGTTGTGAAACACAAAGTGCAATGGCTCTACAGACATGACTGCCCAATACATTCTGCGCAATCTCTAGTTCACAGTTGCATGTGAACCATGCAATTGTGAACAATTCACAGTTGCATGTGAACCATGCACAGTTGAATGGGGTGATCTCTGGTTCAGAGATCACCCCATTCACAGCAACAGAGTTTTCACATTCACAATGGAATAGTGAGTACTGTATTTTTTGCACCATAAGACTCACTTTTTTCCCACAAAACAGCGGTGTGGAAAGTCTGTGCGTCTTATGGAGCGAAAAATACGGTACTTCTTGTGCATGGCAGAAAAGAAGAACCACATGTGCAATGGACTGTTATGTGCATGAGAAAAACCAACCGTATTCTGGCCTACATGGTTTAGCTATTCTAAAATATGGCAGTATACAGAACGTTGGTTTCAACTTACACAGAAGTCTCTGGAAGTCTTCTCCTCAGAAGATTCAATAATGCAGTTATCGAAAACTAACTTCGAGAGAGAAAGAAAAGAAATTCAGTACTCTAAGATAATTTAAGGGTATTATGTAACCAAGTCCAGCTTTTAAAAAAACACAGAGTATTCAGTAACATAGAACAATAATCCTGAATTATACTAGTCAAGAAACAAAACAAAACAACAAAGAAGAAAAAAGTTGTTGCACCTTAAACTTTCTTGGATCAAGCCCACAGCATTTTTGTCACTTTTTTCCTTCTACTTCTGCCTATATTTTGTTTTGTCTCTTGTCTGATAGGCTTGCACAGACTAATCCAGCTACCACTTTGAAAACCCTGGGTTAGTTAATTTTATTCTGTAGTGTGGACTTGAAGTGGCTTGTTCACAAAAAAGTGAGTTGTTCACAAAAATTAAATATTTGATTGATTTTTCTGATTTAAACTCTCAAATTCAAATGAATGCAAATGGGCAAAAATCCTATGCGGAAACCTGTTTCAAGATGACCCTTTTCAGAAACAGTCCTCACAGAGTGCAAGCTGTATAATAATCAGCTCAAGTTACAGCAACCCAGATTTGGTTGGATATCAGGAAAAATATCCTAACTGTTAGAGCACTACAATATGGCTACCTTGGGAGGTGTGACCACTCCAGTGCTAGAGAAAAGTAGTCAGCCATCTGTCAGATAGAGTTTGATTTGGATTCCAGCATTAAGCAGAGGGTTTTGACTCAATGGCCTTACAGGTCCCTTCCATTATGGGAATGTCCAGTATGTCTATCTACATATTAATATCAAGAAGTTAATGTTTTGCAGAAACTTTTGGAAAGTGTTATTGTTTCCAGTTTTATTATGTTTTGTATGGGGTCATCTGTACACATTAGCTATTTTTCTATGTGAAGAATACTGTGCGTATTTTGGACCTATTTCTTCTATAATTTCATTGTTAAATCTTCCAACTCAGGTCACTAGATGGTTTTGCAAAAGTGCACCATAGTTATAAATCATATGACGGCCAAACTCCTGTTGCTTAGGTACTCCACCTACTAACATTAGGCATTACTAATATTAACTCCTATTAATGATTCCGATCATTTCATTTAAGTGAAGACAGTGGGTTGACACCAAAAAATACAATTGGGAACTTATCTGTCTACAATAATATATGTTCTGCAGATAGAACTAAGTAGTAGGATGTTAGCCAGCAGTTATTTTTCAAGGTGCTGAAGCAAGTCTCTTATGACGAAAAATTATGCTATTTCTGAGTACTCAGCAGAGAAAAAAAGTGAGAAAAGAGAGGAGTATATTAAAAAAGAGATGGTAGGGGAGAACTCCATAAAGTTATGCATGGTATGGGGATGGTTTTCTCCATCTCACTTAATAATAAAATACAGATAACCTAAAGAAGATGCCCAACAAGAGATTAGTACAGATTACATGAAACAATTCTTCAAAAAGCTAGTTGTTGTGGGTCTTTCGGGCTCTTTGGCCATGTTCTGAAGGTTGTTCTTCCTAACGTTTCACCAGTCTCTGTGACCGGCATCTTCAGAGGACAGCACTCTGTGCTCTGGTGTAGTTTGCTCGGTAGTTGAGTATTTATGGTTGTGAGATAGGCTTTTGTCCTTTTCAGGAGATGGGTGATTAGTGTGTCTTGTTGTGGGTATATTGTTGTGATAAGGAGGAGAGATTATCTGTCACTGTGATTGATGAGTGTCGTTAGCTGGTCTTTTGTGTGTAGTGATCCCCGGTCCTTGTGGCTGGGTAGAGTTCGTTGACATTTTGCACGCTGTATTTTTCAGAGCTGGGAGCCAAGTTTTGTTGAGTTTCAAGTTTTCCTCTTTTTTGTTGAAGTTCTGCTGGTGCTTGTGGATTTCAATGGCTTCCCTGTGCAGTCTGACATAATGATTGCTGGTGTTGTCTAGTATTTCAGTATTTTGAAATAGAATTTCATGTCCAGCTTGTTTTAGGGCATGTTCAGCTACTACAGATCTTTTCCAGTTGTTTTAGTCTGCAGTGTCTCTCATGTTCTTTGATTCTGGTGTGGATGCTTCGTTTTGTGATTCCAGTGTATACCTGGCCACAAGGGCACTTTCAGATCCAACCCTATATGTTTACCACAACTAGAAATATTCACTGTATATAGTCTTACTTTTAAACATTCAGGAAGATGCTCAACCATCTCCAGTATAGCAAATTTATTTATAGGTGAATGGTGAGAAAATGCTGTTATAGACTCTTCCCATCTGAAAGAAATAAGTTGAAGTGGCTCAGAATAGTTATTGTGGTAATGAAAAAGGAAGAGATAGTTTACCATATCTTAAGAAATGATTTTTAAATGCATGAGCAATAATGTGTTGCCTATCTAAATTGTAGAAGTTGCTGCAGCAACAGATAAATGATTAGGCTAGACCAGACCAGTTAGACCATCTGTAGCATTGTGTCACAACTTTATCAGAAAATAAAATCATGCCAGGGACTTCAAGATGAGCTTAACTATTGCTATCATCTGCAGGAAAAAGGGGTCTTCCATAGGCAACCAGAGCAGATTTCAGGGTGGACTTAAAATTATTGGTTTGAATCACAATTTAAATCATGATTCAAATTTTAAGAATCAAAATTTTAATTTAAATAATGAAAAACTCTGATTTTTAAATTTAAATCAGAACCACCCTGGCCACTTGTAATCGCGGTTTCTAGGATTTCCTGAGAGGACTGCACTCTATAAATGTCAGCAGAAGGAACTGGGAGATATTACGGGAGATATTACAGAGTAATCCTGGAAAAATTGGATTCATACTGAAATTTTTCCTATCAAAATAAATATATTTCACTTCCTTGCTTAAAGCCTCATTCTTTGCCCACAATAAAAAGCTGGATGACATATTGGCCAAAATCCTGTTGCTTAGCATAGTAAATCACACTACAGGCTAACTGAATCAGTGGTGTCTTGCAGTTAAACTAGTCCCATTTGAATCAATAGAACATATGGGGCCGGGGGGAAATGACTCACCAAATCCCCATTGACTCAATAGGCCCAGTTTATTGCAATTTACTGCTCCAAGCAACAGGATTTTGACTCTCTTCTTATGTTTCATTCTGTTGTCCTTGCCTCTCGAACTCTTCCTCCTTCTGCTATTTTTCCTCCACTTCTCTCCATTTATATTGCCTCTCCTTACTAGTTTTAGACTAAGAGGCATATACCTTTCATGGAACGCTATGAAATTTTAAAAATAAAAAATAGAAAAATAATTTCTGGTTTATATTTGAACACCAAAAGATGGATAGGAGTGAGTCTTCAAAGGCAAAATGCAAATTAAGAGTGTGACTACATTGACAAATAATACGGAAGTTGTTCTAGGGTTGAAATGGGCTTATTTGCATTATTTTCTTCTGACTACATGATGTAAAAGACAATGCAAATCATACATTAATGCTCACTAAGAAGTCCAATATTCCCCAATTTAATAAGGACTAAAGCTGGAGTCAGGATTCTGAATGGAGGCCTGATTCTGGAAGAAAGTCAGCATATAAATACAAAAAATAAATACAATAAATAAAACTTATGAAATATTTCCAATCTTTATCCAATAAACTCTCTCTCTAATGTTTTCAGCTGAAAGAACAAATCATCTTGATTTTGTAAATAACACAATCACAGTAGATCTGGCAGAAATTCAACACACAAATGTAACATTCATTGTCATATGTTTACCTTTTATGTAAGATCACAGCATTGACCACTTCTTTGCGCCCACAGTGTATGGCTTCATGGAGGAAAGAAGCTTCAGTTTTGTTCAGAAGGATTTTTGCACCATCATCAAGAAGCAGTCTAACTGCCTTTGCATGGCCTTCTCTGGCAGCAAGATGAAGAGCTGTGTTCTTTATCCCCCACAACAAAAATATATAAAATATTATTTCATTTAAATATATATTTTACAAACCCAAATGTAATTGAATCTACATGGAGCATTTTGAAAAACTTGCCCTGGCTTCAGCCCCCCTCGCACCCACAGTCTGGTTCCGATATGTGGATGACACCTTTACTATCTGGAGTCACGGTGAAGAAAAATTGGAAGAATTTCTCAACCATCTCAACAGTATCCACCCAAATATACAATTCACCATGGAAAAAGAAAGAGAGGGCCAACTCCCGTTCCTAGATGTCATGGTCCTACGCAAAACTGACCTCCGACTGGGACACAAGGTCTACAGAAAACCCACCCACACAGACAGGTAGCTACACAAAAACTCCAACCACCATCCACGGCAAAAAAGAGGCATAATCAAAACACTGGTAGATGGTGCAAATCGCAACTGTGAAGCTCAGTTTCTCAACACTGAACTCGACCACCTGAATTGGGCCCTACAGGCAAATGGCTACTCCAAAAATGAAATCACAAGAGCCAGCAAACCAAGAAAACACCACGGAACTGAAGAAGAAAAACAGCCACCCACAAACAAAGTATTTCTGCCATACACCAAAGGGGTCACAGACCGCATGGGGAAATTTCTGGAAAAACACAACCTAAAAACAGTATTCAAGCCCACCACAAAAATACAACAAATGTTACGGTCAGCAAAGGACAGAAGGGACCCCCTCACCACTGCAGGAGTATACCGGATACCTTGCAGTTGTGGCCAGGTATACACTGGAACCACAAAACGAAGGATCCAAACCAGAATCAAAGAACATGAGAGACTCTGCAGACTAAAACAACCAGAAAAATCTGCAGTAGCTGAAGATGCCCTAAAACAAACTGGACATGAAATTCTATTTCAAAATACTGAAATACTAGACAACACCAGCAATCATTACGTCAGACTGCACAGGGAAGCCATTGAAATCCACAAGCACCAGAAAAACTTCAATAAAAAAGAGGAAAGTTTGAAACTCAACAAAACTTGGCTCCCGGCTCTCAAAAATACAGCATGCAAAAGGTCATGAACTCTACCCAACCACAAGGTCAAGGGGATCACCACCATCAACCACAGTGATAGACAATCTCCTTATCACATCAATACACACAGAACAAAACACACTAATCACCCATCCACAGAAAACAATACACCCACAACAATACACACTAATCATCTCATCTCACAGCCATAAATACTCCACGCCCTAGCCAAACTACACAAGAGCACAGTTTGCTGTCCTCTGAAGATGCCGGCCACAGAGACTGGTGAAACGTTAGGAAAAACCACCTTCAGAACACGGCCAAGAAGCCCGAAAAACCCACAACAACCAGTAATTGAATCTTTTGATTAAAACCCTGTTACTCAGTTCTACTTACACTATGGTAATGATTCCATTGCCAGTAGCAAATTCCCACTAATTAATGGCTTCCTTTAATGATTTCAGGATGTACTTAACTCTGTCAAAGTATGTACGAAATCACCTTAACCAGCAGCTTGCCTTTAATCAGCAATGATTTGCTATTGATGATGATGACATCCCTATTATGCACATGGAGCTAAGCAACAGAATTTCAGCCATTGTGTGTATTTCCCCCACGTACTGACTATCCCTCCCATTTACCTTTGCTCTTACTTCTCTCTCTTCTAATTATCATCCTTTCCCTCATTTCCTTATTATGAATTTTAAGGCTAAACTAGAGTATGTGTTGTTTGTAATTGGCCATTGAAAGGTCAAGTCGCAGGTTCAATCTGTAAGTCCGATAGCTGTGGGACTTTTTTTTAGAAAAGTATGTGAGGCATCTCAGTTTCTCTACAGAAAAGCTTGCATTAAAGCAAAGACTATTATCTCTCTTTGTTCAAACATGTTGCATTATTGGGCACTTCAAGAATTGCACCCCTTTACAAAAAGATCTCCACCCTCGACCCTTCTATCTTATTTTACTGATCTCATGAGCTTTGATCACATAAAATTCGTTGCTAAAACACATCTAGATAAGCTGCCACTTGCTTTCTTAGAAGGCTGGTACAAAGGAATTCCACGTAATGAAAGAGCCTGCTCCTATGATAAGAAATCAACCAAAAATCTGGTAAATGACATACTTTACTGTCCTTTGTTCCCAGCAAAACATGCAAGACTACTGAGGTCTGTTTTGGAACAATTGCCTGGAAGATCTGACCAAGACAAACTTAGGATGTTACTTTCCAATCAGGACAAGATTGTCACATTTTGAATGGCAAAGTTTTTATCCATCCTTATAAAAACAAAGTCTGTATCTTCTGTAGCTAACCAAGCTAACAGTTAAATTATTATGACTCAGGGTCCATTGTCACTGATGTGCTGTTTTATTTTAATGTTTACTGACTGTAGTAATGTTTATGTTTAGATATGTTTGATGAATTTTAGATCTTAGAATTTTAAATCTGAACAGAAGTTTAATTCAATCCCTCTTATACTGTGTTGTACTGTATTTTTATTATATACTTTGCAAAGTCCCCTGTACTAAAGCAAAAGAAAAAGAAGGAGGAGAAAAAGAAGAAATTCGTGAAGGCTTTCACGGCTGGGATCTAATGGTTGTTGTGGGTTTTTCGTGCTCTTTGGCTGTGTTCTGAAGGTTGTTCTTCCTGAATTTGAAACCTGCTTTACTAAATCTATATGAAACATGGAATATCTATACATGGTGGCTATCTTAAGTTGCTTGTTGTTGTTTATTCGTGTCCGACTCTTTGTGACCCCATGGACCACAGCACGCCAGGCTCTTCTGTCCTCCACTGCCTCCAGGAGTTGGGTCAAATTCATGTTGGTAGCTTCGATGACACTGTCCAACCATCTTCTGTGAGTGCTTCAGTTTAAAGGTAACACTACCTTTTACATGAATATGCTGCCTTATGTTTTGCTAAAGACATCAGGCCTCGCTGCAGTGGCCCTACACATATTGATATGGAGGCACTGGGTCATCCATGCATCCTCTCTGTAACTTGTGTTTTTGCTAAAATTTAACATGATACTCTATTGGGTGCTATCAGTAAATACTTTACACCCCAGAGTTTTTTTTTTCCTTTTCTTTTTGGTCTCCAAAATTCCATTAATACTTTTAAACAAATTAATACTTTAAGCAAGAGATGAGGCAAAGTCATAATCCACTAGCTTTTAAACACTCACTTTGCTGTGCCACTTCTGCATGAGAAACTAGTACAACCATTCCTCACCTCATCATGATATTTTACTTTAAAATTGGTCCACGTAAACCCACCCCACTCACTTTGCTGTGCCACTTCTGCATGAGAAACTAGTACAACCATTCCTCACCTCATCATATTTCACTTTAAAATTGGTCCACGTAAACCCACCCTGGGTATTGGTCCTGGTCGTTTAAGAAGCAGAATAAAGGGGCTCTCCAAAATACTTTGCAATATTATAGCTGTGCATAGACCTACCCCATCTTCATCCACTTTATCTGTGGCCTTCACATTTGTATTCAAAATGACCTGCATTGTGCGAGTATACCCTCCAAAGGCAGCATGATGCAAAGCAGTCCAGCCTTTATAATCACTTTTGGAAAAGCAGATTAAACTTAATCAGAACATAATACAGTACAGTATTGCTGATTGTATCAATATAATTGACAGTTAAATTTGAACTTACACAGCAACCCTGAACATCCACCATTGTATGACATCAGCATTTGCTTTCCAAGAATTTTCAGTAAGGAAGAAACTTCTATCCAATGAAATTAGCTAAAATAAAATATGAGAGCTCTTTTGCAGGTGTTCTGCGACCTTACTACCTGTCTTGCTCTTTCAATACAGTGGACCCACAAAGCACCACAGAGACAGTGCTCCCCAGACATGTTACATCATCATCTTCATAATCACCATCATATAAATAATTGTTTTAATATACTATTGACATTTTTGAAAACAAAAAAAATACATACAAAGACTTTTTGATATAACCTCACACTGATCACCTGTTAGCAAAATGTATTCTAGAAAAAATATTCCTAGGCATTCTGGAATTTTCAACTAGAATTTGAAGAGCAAAGCCTTTTAGATTTAACAGCATTAACAGAAATGTTTTGCAATCTCAACTGTTCATATTACCCCCTTTGCCTTTTCTACTTCATCACTGTTTGCAGCAATTTCTTTTTCACCACTGTGTGCTGCACCTAACAACACTGGCTTGCTGAAATTTGCATTAATACATGCAATGTAAATCCACACTATAGTGTAAGAGCTGCAATTTCCCCTCTATCAAATAGCAAAGATAGGGTGATGCATCATCCGTGGCCACTGCTACTACCAACATAATTTTATTGCATATTTGCCAATGAATCAAACCTCATAATACAAATTAGAGATGAGCCAATCAGCTCCTTTTGAAGATTCCAAATCCCAGAATTCTCCATTTTAGTAGTTCTACTCAATTGACCCACACCTAAATTGTGCTCACCTGAAGGCTTCACAACCTAATACAGACCAAGGTTCAGCTTAACTTCCTGTTAGTAAAGGAAGATTCCTTTACTAATAAGAAGGCACTCTGGAATTTGGCTTGTCCTAGGCCATGAAGACCTCCAGTCTAGTCTTCCTGCAAGTGATCACAATTTATGTGTGGGTCTGGCATGTGGAACTCTCAGAATGGGGAATTCCAGGATTTTAAATAATAATTAAAAAGCATGGCACATGCCTGCTACATATATACTACAGTATGGAACATGAGATACCAAAATATCAAGCAAGAGATTTTCACTGATAACTTGAAGGGCATGGGTTACTATATATTTCTTTTGCTGACTAGGTGACAAGGAAAGGAAGAAAATGCATAGACATACCAGAGGAAAAGGGCACCTCTTTTCAGAAGAAACTGAACTACTTTTTCATGACCATTCTGAGCAGCCAAGTGTAGAGGAGTCATTCCTTTCTTGTCACCTTCATTCAAGAGCCTGGTGTCTTCCATATCTCGTAGAAGTCGTTGGCAGGTGTTGATACGCCCATAGCTACATAAAAGATGTATGTAGAAATTACTAAAGGTATCATGTGGAATGCAAAGTGGATGATGAAACAGAGCACAGGCTTACCTAGCTGCAAAATGCAAAGGAGATTTCTTGTCTCTGTTTTTAGAATGGATGGAAACATTCAGTTGAAGGAGGCTGTTCACTGAAAGGGGTACCCCTTGTCTGCATGCATAATGTAGAGGAGTACACCCTTCGTTATCTTCATCAGTTACAAGATCTTTAATATGCTGCATCTGTCACATACAAAAAAGTGGGACCTAATAAAATATTTTGTGAAAGTTATTTTCTGACAAAAGGTGTTTTGTATTTAACGGCATATCTGTTGGTTATTTTGGTTTCTCTGCTGAGGTCCCTATATATTATGGAAGACAAGCACGCCCCCTTAAAACCTAGATAAGCATAGATGTGTAAAGAAATAGGGAATAATTCTGTTTTATCTCTAACATTCTCTATGGTTCCAATGTTTTGTTACAAATACTGTATAAACAGAATTCTGTAAACGTATTATGAAAAAACTGGAAGTATGTTTTTTCAAAACAATATGAATCTTTATACCTGCTATTAACATACACAAAGAGACCTTTACCTTCAAAAAATGTTCATTCAGATGCTTTAAACCTCCAGGATGCAGTACTGTTAGATGCAAAAAATTACGACCAAGATGATCTTTTAATTCTACATTTGCTCCTAAATAAAAATAGAGAAAAAGAGTATTGACCACTAGCAGAAGTAGTTGCATAAACAAACATCATCATTGCTCATAATGTATTCTTTTGCTCAATTTATACCTTTTGAGAGTAATAAATTCACAATTTTCCATGATGCACAGGAAGTAGCAAGTAGTAGCGGAGTTCGCCCCTCAATGTCAACACTATCAATCTTTGCTCCCTGCAGTTAAAATTCAATAAAAAAGGATGAATGCTTTTTAAATGACCATATAGACAAAAAAAACTAGAAACTATCACATATGTATGATGAAAAGTTACTTCCTTTTCAGAATCCCTAGCCTGTTTTCCTCAGTGATCTTTTAACCAATAACAGGAACACTTTGACAAGCATGATGCATAAGGACATATATAAGTTCATATCAAAGGAAGACTGGGTCAGACTAACGTAACATGTTGTCATTGTGTGGTCAGCTAACTTAGGATGTTGTTGCTGTGTAATAGGGTGATTTGGCACCCATGTACCGGCAGTGTTCCATACATTCAGGAAACATTGCAAAGTGTCTCTTTTTAAAAATACAATGGGTAACATTTAGTTGGTGTAAACTTACATTGGCAGAAGCTAATGACATAAGAACCTGGTGCCAGTTAATTTTAATATAATTAAATTAATTAAAAGATTTATATCCCCTGCTGTGTAATAGGGTGATTTGGCACCCATGTACCGGCAGTGTTCCATACATTCAGGAAACATTGCAAAGTGTCTCTTTTTAAAAATACAATGGGTAACATTTAGTTGGTGTAAACTTACATTGGCAGAAGCTAATGACATAAGAACCTGGTGCCAGTTAATTTTAATATAATTAAATTAATTAAAAGATTTATATCCCCTGTTCTAGAAGTCTGACAAGCATGATGCATAGGAACATATATAAGTTCATATCAAAGGAAGGCTAGGTCAGACTAACATAACATGTCATTGTGTGGTCAGCTAACTTATATATTTTATTTATTTATTTAACTTATATGCTGCCCACACTACTCGAAGGTCTCTGGGCAGCTTACAACACTTAAAGTACAATAAAAAGGCAAAATAATTAAAATGCAATTAAAAATATATACTCTAAAATGATGTTGTCCCAGTATATAGGGATTTGGCAACCATGTACCCGGCAGTGTTCCATACATACAGAAAACATTGCAAAGTGTCTCCTTTTAAAAATACAATGGGTAACATTTTGTTGGTGTAAATTTACACTGGCAGAAGCTAATGACATAAGAATCTGGTGTCAGTAAAATTTAATATTAAATTAATTAAAAGATTTATATCCCCTGTTCTAGATAATGAAGCTTCTTTGGGCTCCCTGTTGACACTCTCAACAGGAGAAGAGAGGAAAAATGAAAATTAATTTTTGTGCAAGTTAAGCCAAACTGTTCAAATAAACATAATGCAGACAATACAAATTGTACAGAAGGGCAATGGCTGCTCCTTTGTTGCATGGCCTATTTAAGGATTAGAACTACTGGAGGTGTTGTTTGTTTCCTTTTTGTGTTTTGTTCCTCAAAGGAAACGGACACTACAGTAGTTTTGTGCAGAGACAATTTGCACATATTACAAAGACATTGTCATTGTGTTTCTGCCTAATGGTAAAAAAAAATCTCACAGAGTCTGAACATTCCTTCCAAGCTGCACAGGAAGCTGAGATAGCCTAAATCAGGGGTCTCCAAACTTTTTAATATGAGGGGCACATGGATATTTTCAACATCTTTAACGGTTAAAGGAACAGGAACACACATACACACACACACACATCCTGCACGCACGCCCTTGCCCCCAGCATGCATGCGCACACCCACCCACACCCCAGCACACGTGCACAGGCCGAAGGGAACAGGCTAGATAAAATGACAAGGCAGGCCGGATTTGGCCTGCGGGACATAGTTTGGAGACCCCTGGCATAAACAGATGAGAGCACAGTATTTAATATAGCTTTGTTACACTCCTATCCAATGCTATGTTCACTGGTTCATCTAGGAAGGTATGTACTTTACAGAGATGTGGAAGAATTCATCCCATAAATGTGCAAAACGTCTCCAAGATGGGCAAAACAAATCTCACTGCTACCACAGTAAGGAGGAAATCTTCTGTGTTGTTTTGTTAACCATGAGAAGACAAATGAAGTCATGCTTTATATCCCTAGTTGCTGTTTTTCCCACAGTTTACAGAAAAGGGAGAAGTACATAGGCTAGGTGTGTAGATGAGAGTTTTCTGCATATCATAATAACTTGCTACATGTCTCTTAGAATCTGACCACGGAGGTTCATTTCAAAAGGAATTGCCCTGGCAACTTTTTATTGCTCAGGGAAGATAGGAGTGCCTGCCTGTATGACCAAAGCTAAGCTAAACAGAGCTAAAATGCCCAAAGGAAAACAGGTGTGGTTTTATTTATTTATTATTGATATTTATTAGTAATCCTATAGCTAATTGTTCTCAGACTGATCTACAACAAAAACACAAATACTGCTGCTGCTACCCAGTGTCTTTAAAATGGAGGCCTACATTTTGCAGTGCTCTTGATGCATAGGCTTCTATGCAAGGTGGAATCCCAAAGTCCATCAGCACAGACCATTGATGGGCAGACAGGGTATGGAAAAAGCAAAAAAGCAAAGCGTGCTGCTTATATACCACCCCATAGCGCTTCAAGCACTCTCTGGGAGGTTTACAAGTTAATTATGCAGGCTATACATTGCCTCCACCCAGCAAGCTGAGTACTCAATTTACCGACCTCGGAAGGATAGAAGGCTGAGTCAACCTTGAGCCAGCTACCTGGGATTGAACCGTGGGTCGTGAGCACAGTTTTGGCTGCAGTACAGCAGTTTAACCATTGCACCACGAGGCTCTAGCCAGCTGCGTAGCCATGCAGCCCCTTGCCCTCACTATTTGAAAAGTTACTTTCTTGTGAACAACTCCCAGAATCCTTCAGCCAACATGGCCCACTGGCTCCACTTGCATTTTTTGTGACCCCTTCATGGGATTATTGCATGAAGGTAGTGCTAGTTTATAGCAAATCTCTCCGAAGGATGTATTTGGGAGTATTCAAAGAAGCACTGATGTCAAGAAGTCTCTGTTTATTCCTGTGGATATTTGCTGGAACAAAACATAAACTCTTTTAGAATAAAAATCCTGGATTTTAAAGGATTTTCATTTTTACCTTTTGATTGAAACTATTTACTTGATTTGAGTATGCTTGTGTTATATACAAAAACGTTATATACTCAGCACTAAACAATATACATGACATCATTGCCATTTTCTACCCATACTAAGATATGCAATGCTCTCCTTCAGAGGTCAGTGTGACCCCCCTCCCTTTTTTTCCTTCTGCTGAGAGCTGGACATGAGAAAGTGCCGGTTTGTGCTAGTTCATTTCTTGGCTGAACACATGTTTGATGGTTCCCAGCCCCATTTAGAGGCAGCACCTGGAGAAGGCAGGACAAGGGAGCTGGGGCGCTGCCTCTGAGTGGGTGCCCGCCAGAGGAGGCGAGGCTGTGAACTGCCAAACTCCTATTCAGCCAAGAAATAAACCAGCATGAACACTTAACTGGCGGTTCATGTCCATCTCTACTGAAGACAGGCTTTTTAGACAGGCTTCTAACAATCATGACTGAGTCTCTGAATGTCTTGTTTCAGCTAAGACAGTTTGTAATGTTTACTTGCTTTTAATTATTCAATTGTACACATACACCTCATTTAATGACCAAATTCCATTCCTATGACTAGGTCATTAAGCAATTGGTAAGTGAGGAGCAATAATAATAAATCACGTGCCTTTGAGAAGGGGCGTGGTGTAGATGCAAGCATGCATTTATGAGGGTCATAAAGGGTCATTAAACAGTAAAATTGTTGAGAACTGTCTGTATTTGAATTAGTGTTTGGTTTAATTTTTAAAATAATATTCAACTATTTACATTTTTAATTCCATTCTTTTAAATATTGTGAGCCACCTTGGGCCCCCTTATCAGGAGAAAGGTGGCCTATAAATAAAACAAACAAATATATAAATACTATCGCTTCTATAGACTACAGTCAAAACTTAATAAAATGGCAAGCAAGTGAAGGACTAAAATGATCTATATACATAACAAGTGCTCCTGTTTTAATGTCATCAACATGTTCTGCCGCTAAACAGACAAGCCACTCTGAGTTAAAAGACAGTTTGTATCTTTGATGTGAGAGACCTACTGCAATGAAATAAAATCCTCCAACATACATGACTGTTCCTCACACAGGAACCTTTTTGTAGATCTCAACCTATCCTGTTCCACTATTTTCAAATATATATTATTAAGCTTCATCAGAATTACCTGTACTCAGATAACCCCCTATGTCAATTTCCTGTATGGGCTGAAAAGGAAATTAATTATTTCAATTGTGTCTTACACATATTACTGTGCACCCTGAAATTAGTTTATGGCAGTCTCTATTATCATTAGAAATTCAATTAAAATTAAACATTTACCATTGATATCAGATACTCTGCCAGTTCATAGTGATCAAACAACGCAGCCCTATGGGAAAAGAGAGAAGCAAGCTAAAATGTCAAGACTTTTAAAATGCAATGATGTTAGGAACACGAAGTTAAACTAGCCTTCTGACAGGGTGCAAAGATGTCAGTTGATATTTTGGGCCATTATTCAGGGGCTATAGCTTTTACAATGTTTCCCTGTTCTTCTTTGCAATGGCATTGGAGGAATGAATACTGTATATCCCATCAAAAAATGAAAATACCACACATAAGGGGTTTGATATCATATCTGCTGGTTAATATTTGTATCCTATTTATTCCAGATTATATTAACAGTGGTTCTACTACACGGCCCAACTGGGGGCTGAATCCTTCCTACAAACCATCAGGGACGGCACCCTTTCTCTGTTGCCACCATTTCCACCCCCCTGATGAATATCTGCTGGGAAATGCAGCACGAAAAGAGCGTGCATCTTTTTTCTCAGCAGAATCATGTTTCAGCCACTGCACTGGGTGTACAATCCTGCTAGGAGACAACATGAGTGTTCTCTGAGCACTACAATAATCTGTTGTGGGTAGCTAGGAAAAACCCCACAAAAGAGTTATCCATTCCTGTCCTGCAAAGTTAAAATATGACCAATGTCCACATCAATGCAGATTATCAGATGCTGGAGTGAACCCCTCTTGCCTTATTAAATTGAACAAAATAGTAATAAAAAGTATCATGGCAAATACAATGAAATTAAGGGAAGGTCTCACCTGTGAAGCAATGTTTCCTTATTTCCATCTAAAGCATCAATGATAGGTTGCTCTCCTGTATAAGCTGACATCATTAATTTAAGGATTTCAGTAGCTCCTTGGGTAGCAGCAAAGTGAAGAGCTGTGCACTTGTCATTCTGCATGGAGAAATATAAGGCACAAGAAAATCTCACAGTCATTCACAAGCTTATACCAAATGTTTTAAAAACCCTACAATACTGTTTGTGTTGACCTGATTTAAAATATACACATACATATGCACAGAGAAAAGAGAAAGACAGAGACCGAGACAGAGACATCAGAACTATTTTTGTTCTTTCAGACACCAACTGTATTCATCCTATGCAACAAACCAATGTAACAAAACAAAGTATGCTACTTATAAACTGCCTCGTAGAGCTTAAAGCACTCTCTGGCCAGTTTATAATTTAATTATCCAGGCTACACATTGCCCCCCTCCCCCCAGCGAACTGGGTACTCTGTTTACCAAGTTCAGGATGGAAGACTGAGTCAACCTTGAGTGGTCACATTGCCCCCCCCCCAAGCTAACTGGGTACTCTGTTTACCAAACTCAGAAGGATGGAAGACTGAGTCAACCTTGAGTGGACTACCTGACCCTGTTGGGATCGAAATCAGGTCATAAGCAGAATCTTCAGTGCAGTATTGCAGTTTAACCAGTGCACAAAGAGGCTCCTAACAAATGCATTGTGTTCAGTAGTTGCCTTTCTTTTAAAAGTTTAAAAGAAATCAGTGGTGATTTTTAAAAGTGCTTAACTTTGACTATATCATGCACATGGAAGTATAGCTCTTTTATAAGTTCTTAAGATCGAAATCAGATCATAAGCAGAGTCTTCAGTGCAGTATTGCAGTTTAACCAGTGCACAAAGAGGCTCCTAACAAATGCATTGTGTTCAGTAGTTGCCTTTCTTTTAAAAGTTTAAAAGAAATCAGTGGTGATTTTTAAAAGTGCTTAACTTTGACTATATCATGCACATGGAAGTATAGCTCTTTTATAAGTTCTTACCTGCTTCAGATCAATTTGTGCTCCATATTCAATGCACATTTTTATCATTTCTAAGTCTCCACTTTGAACTGCTAAATGAAGAGGACTACATTTTCCATTATTAGTAAAGTTGATATGAGATTCAGTGGAATAGCCCAACTCTTCACCTTAAGAAAAATAATTTTAGAAGTGATTACAAACTTTGGAATATAATAATCCAGGGAAGGAGTGGACATTCACTTCTCTGATTTTGCAGTGTATTGACTTTGTGATAGCAACTGTTGCATAATTTATGTATGTATATTTACCAATCAATATAAAATAATATGATCAATAAAACAATCCATTCCATTCAAATGCTTAAAAAAGCTTTTTTCCCCTAAATCATAAAGCAGTTACCAAATGTATCAGTGTTTCTAAGAATGGGGGTCAATGACTGACAGAGATCAAGATTAGAGATGGGCACAAAGTACTTCATCCCCATTGTCGTAAGTCATCCACATGGCAGCACAGCTGGTACATGTTCCTTTTCCCCACTCCCCTCCCCTGTACCCTTCTCTCAAAGGCAGTGCTCCAGGAATCCTTGCCCCATTTCCTTGCTGCAAGAATCCATGCCCTGCCTCCTCATCTGAGTGGCCAGCTGCTGGGGGAGGTGGAGAAGGGAAGTCTGGGCTCCTGCCTGGACTGGAAGATCATGCAAAGGACAGAACAGTGCACACTTGCCAGTGAGTGAAGGTACCAGTGAGGGGGTGGGGGAAAGGAATGAGCTGCAGCTGTGCAGACAACTTACGACAAAGCGGCACAAAGTACTTAATGCCCATCTCTAGTCCAGGTCAATTATGTTAAATCTTAGTTCACTGACATGGAACTACTCAAAGGGAACACTTGCTCCTGCACCTCCACTCTTCATCCACTACAGTCATAAAAAGATTAGAATGGCCAACCTACATTTTTAATGAAGTCTTATTACCATATTGTTAGAATCCCAGGGCACTTAATCTTAAATGTCTTTCACAAAAACAAGGCAACTTCATATACAGTACTGTGTTCCTATCTCCTTGCCTTGCAAATGGAATACCTGACAAAAGCAACAGGTAACTGATAGCTGTGCTCACGAACACATGAACATTTCTAAATACAGTGTGTGTAAGAAACAGGGCCTAAGTGATTGCTCCTTGGATGTAACAAAAATTAATGGAAGATCTATAAAATGCTTTTACCTCTTTTAATAAGAATCTCCATGCATCCTTTGGCACCAGAAAATGCTGCTGCATGGACTGCCATAGAGCCCATACTATTTCCTTTACATATGTTACCACCTTTTTCTATCTGCAAGACAGGGATCAAGCAATGACAATTTTTGGACATTTCACACACAAAAAGGAGAACCCTGCAGCCTGCTCTCCCATTTGCACAGTACTGCACTGCTGTCACTTGTGCTCTTGTACATGTTAAGCACATGCTCACTGATTTTAAAAGAGAATTAGAGATCTACACCTGTCACACAGTTCAGGACTAGAATCTATACTAGAACAGGGACCCATATGACTAGAAATACTGATGGTATCTGTGTAACGTCCTCCCATGGGTGGCTTTCATTGCCTGAACAATGGCCTCAAAATCTAATCCAAAAGGCTGGACGATCTTCTAAAACATAAGGGTGGGGTGGGATGAGGGAAGAGAAATGGAGGAATTAAAATTCCTGTTATCTGATGTTAATTCTGATCTTCCTCACTGCTGTAAGCTTAGTACAAAAGTGGTGCATGAAGTGGTCCTGGTCACTCAGACATGGAGTGCCTCCCAATTTAAGAGATGGGAAGTAGCCACAAAAGCACCTACAGTAATGCAAGTGATCTTCCATTTCCTGATGACTGGGGCAAGAGAATCCAAGAAAGAGTTAATCTACAGTAAAACAGCTCTTCTAGCATGAGGCAAGAAGGTCAGAACTGAGAAGCTCCAAAGGAGTAAGAGGCAGTTATGATGTACTGCCACTGGACCCCTCCCATCAAAAAATGAGGCACTGTACCTGAACCCCCACATCCTTATAGAAACACTCTGCTGTTCTGATATTCTCCACAGTTGCTTTGAACATTCCTTCTATTCACGTCCAATATCTGACTGTTCAATGCTATACAAAAAATTTTTGCCATACAAAAATAGGGGCACATAAAATATAAATTCATAAATGAAAAAGAGGCAAGTAAAACTAAATTGTTATACATACCAGAAGTTTCAGTGCTTCAACATTATTTTTATAACATGCTATTAATATAGGTGTGTTTCCACTTTCTCCTTCCAGGTTTATATCTGTAGTACTGTGTTCAATGAAAATCTAAATATTAAAGGAAGATATGTAAGTTTGGCCTCTTTCTCATATCATTGCTGTACCAGTTGCAGGATATTCTCATTACTAATAAGTTACATTCATAATATTGCTAAAATAATTATTATTACAGTAGATACATTTTACCTCTTCATGGAAAATTTACAAGGCAACAGACTAAAGTACATGGATTCTGTCCTTTAATACATTGTACAATAAGTACAGTGTATGCTAGATTTGTTCTCTCAAACCAATCGTAAGTCTGGTCACAAAATTCTGCCAGCTAGTCAAGGCTCCTGTGTGTAGTGCATTGCACTGGCTTACTCTCAGGGAATAAAAACGGAGGAGTAACGTTTGCCACATACAGAACAGCCTTATACTGTGAACTGAATATACCTGCCTTAAACTTCCAGAATCCATCAGTTCTCTTTTGTCTGGATTCATCTTTAATTGAGGCAAACTCAACAAGTTAATTACTACTGCCAATTGAAACTCAATCCCACTGTTTTGGTATAGCTAAGAAAAAACAGGGTGGACATCAACAGGTGTTGACTGGCTGTTAAGCTTCAAGTATCAACCATAACACATCTGTAAATTGTACTTTGCAAATACAGTAGGACCCACATATCCTAACCCTAACGGATAGTGAAAAATGCAGTTTATATCAAACACTGTAACACAGTATTTTGGACCCAGTACCTGTCACTTTTATCTTGATGAGGTCTCTATAAAAGCCATGCTGAAGTCTAGCTGGAAAGCACAAAAGGATGGGAGGTGCAAAATCTCTCCTAGGAGGCAGCTTGACTTAAGGCTTGTACTCCTCCTCCAGCCTCGCCAGGACCAAAGTATCTGATTCCCTCTAGTGGCCAGTTCTGATACCAACCCAGCTCTGAGTTTTACAACACCGCTCTGGAAGGAAACTGCTTCTTCTAAAGACCAAAGTATCGGATTCCCTCTAGTGGCCAGTTCTGATAACTATATTTGATTATCTGTATATCTAGGTGTTTTCATTTAAAATGTTTAATCTTTTAAGACTGTGGTTAACTGAATCAGCAGATATTGATCCAGCGGATATGGGTCTTACTGTACATTATTAGTAGGGTGGGGTGGGGAAAATCTTTACCCCTCTGGTGAACCATTTCTCCAAATGGTTATTCTGCCACATTTTATTTGCTACAACAGTTCTGAACCTCCTTGTACTTCAGCTTTACTTCCCATTACCATACTTCCCATCACCAGCTTCTTCCTGTCATAAGGAAATTTCATTTAGCAAGAAATCTTGGCCACTGATGTTTCTGGATCACTGCCCCTTTAAATCATGGATCATACATTTCCTGCCAATTCAGAGTTCAGACAAATTCATATACTGTACCAACCTACACTGTAAATCACCCATATACTTCAAAGCAATTTATAGGGCAGCAAACCTTTTGACTATACTCTGTTTGAACCTTTAAATAACACCCAGATCGATAGATATAAGATAATTTAAAGTTTATCTCCATATCTTGGAAAGTTTCAGCTAAAGCCCGCTAATGACACTGCTCTTAAAAGATGAAAAACAGGCTCTGATTAAAAAACCAACAGATCTGGTTTTTCCTAAAATCTAATCCAAAAGGTTGGAGTATCTTTTAAAACATAACAGTGGGATAAGGAGAGAGAGATGGAGGAGGAATTAAAATTTCTGTTGTTTGAGTAAGTGTCCATTCATGTAAAATCCAAACATCTCACTACTGTGAGCTTTGTACAAAAGTGGTGCATGAACAGTTTCCAAAATAGGTTTAGAAGTACTCATATGCAATATCTTTCTTGCAAAATCCAAACTTCATTATTTCAGCCTCTGACTTACCAATAAAAAGCTTTCAATGTACAGTATAGTCATGAGATTGTTTTAATCATTGGTTTGTTTACATGCAAATAAGCTTAAAGGTTAGTTTTACCTTAACTAATTCATTGTATAGGCTCTGCACAGCCAAATGAAGTGGAGCCATCGTATTGGAATTAAGAATATTCGGGTTAGCCCCTCTGCTGAGGAGTAATTTAACACTTTCAGTCTGGTTTTTTTTGGTGGCCCAGTGCAGTGGTGTATTTCCACAGGAGTCAGTCACATTTAGTGCTACAACATAAGGTAAGAAAATAGTGCAAACATTACATACCACTTATACTGTATACCACTTGTCTTTTACATAAAATGACCTCTGTTAATGGTAATATTGTAAACAACTACAAATCCTGATTTTACCCAATAAGTAAGTGATTATAGTATTTATTCACTTTCACTTGGATAGTCACCAGAATCCTATGGTATTTGCATAAGGTTTCTATGACTTGCTGTGGTTACTTTAAGAGGTGCCAGGGCAGGTCTGGGTCACATGCCTCATCACATCCCCAACTTTGTAACTGAGATGCATCCTGACAGCCATCTATTAGCCACAATTAATTGCAGCAGATCACACAATATTTATATGAACATGAATAGGATTCCGGCCACTCTACTCAAATCATTTGGGGTTAAATATACATGTGTGATACATTCCCCAAAAACTAGGGGACTAAACCTAGTTTTAGTCCTAACTGGAAGAAACCTACTGAAATGTATGAATGCAAATCCCGCTGGTTTCAATGTGTCTGCTCTAGCTGAGGCTAAAATTGCATAAACAGTCATAGCTCGGTTTATGAATGCTTTGGTTAATGTAAATTTTGGTTTACAAAGCAAAATCCATTGAAAATAATGTCTCTGTTTACGTTGGGTTTTGTGTTTTTTTTTGGACTATGAAGAAAGTTTCCCTGGGATGCATTGTGCCTGGAGGTTTATAGTGCCACCCCCATCCCTATGGCAATCTGGGTTTTGGTTTACAAATTTTTTGCATTATGTAATATCCTGTAGAACGCATTATATTTGTAAACCGAGATACAGCATGCCTGCAGTACATAAAAAACAGACATTGAAAAGTGCTGGTGGTGCAACTACAGAAGAGAGGGCAGATGGAAGGAGTAACTGACTGAGAAAATATGGAGCACTCTTGCACAGTAAAGAGATCTTGAATCCAAGATCCAGTTTTTCAGAGGACACAGGTATCTTACTTTTGTCACCTTCAGCTGAAGAATCTATAATCATCTGCATGAGTTCAAGTTGACCTTGTTCTGCAGCATGATGTAATGGAGTTGCGTTTAGTTCATCCAGGGTCTTAAGTCCATCACGATTCTTCTTAATGAAACTTCGTAGTCTGCACGTACTTCCATCTGAAATGACCTAGATTTTATTTTTTAAAATTGAGAAAAACATTGTTTATTTTCCAAAACAATACATAAATCCTAGCTAGCTATAATAGAGGTACAGGTTCAGTTTTAGACTAAGCCAGAAATAGCATGTTGCTTTGGTCATTGACCTATACCAGAAGTTAGATAGGGGAAGTCCCTCCTGTTGGTTCTGCTGGACTCTCAGAGGCACCTGACACCCTTGATCACAATTCCATTTTTTAAAGTTCTGCTATTACTTGGCTTAACATTCCCAGAAGATGGTGTGAGAAGACCTTTTTTCATTAGGTCTCAGGGCAATTCAGTCATGAGGTTCCTAAGGGATCGGTACTGTTTTCAATATTTTTAAATGCCTGTGTGAAGATGCTAGATGAGGTAGACCAGCATGTGGGTTGGGTCTTATCACTATGCTGAGGATATAGCAAGCCCTCTGGCTTTCAGCTCATGTCAGGCAGACTGTGGGAAGCCTAGTCTTGACCAGGCACATGACCAAAGCCAAGCAGATTTAATATCATGCAAGTTTCTAAGGGAAAAAAAAGCATTGTTGTTGTTGTTTAGTCATTAAGTCATGTCCAACTCCTTTTGACCCCATGGACTACAGCACGCCAGGCCCTCCTGTCTTCCACTGCCTCCCAAAGTTTGGTCAAATTCATGTTGGTAGCTTCGGTGAAACTGTCCAAGCTTCTCGTCCTCTATCGCCCCTTCTCCTCTTGCATAGCAATGTTTAAATGATATATTGATGGGAAAAGAACAGAATTCATATTTGGACTTTAAGAACATTCACAGTTTTGATGCAAAGGATTATGAGGAAGATTTCAACCTAAAGTTATATTTTAAGGGATCATTTAAGATCAGCAAGGGCACAAAGCAGAATGGGATCTACTAGTAGGCCTTGTACTGATTTACAGTAGATCTCTATGGTTTTTTGACTCCCAAAGCAGGTAAATAACATGGTGGGGGGGGTAAATTGTTTATATGACAGGTCTTAATATTAATTGCTCATCTTTCAGCCTCAGTACTGTATTCCCAGTACTCATAAGACAAGAATGCCTAACTGGTTGATTTTTGACTAGATGTTCATTTAGCATTGATAGTCAGTTTTAAGAATTACTTGTGAGTGTCCCAAGTGTATGGTAATGAACATATAGATTTGTATATATGCCAGTGCATGTTCATGGGGTATAATTGATTATTGACTCTGAATATGTGCTTGACTCTAGTTGGCAGATTTCAGCATTCTAACAAAATCCTACAGATCTAATGTCTGTAAATGTCTTGACTGAAGGACCTGCTTTCCATTAGTCTCATCCCTCATTTTAGAAGAGGGGCAGGAAGCATTTGACACTCCTGTTGTAATTCAAAACATGTGTAGTTCCAGAGGCTCCCTACACCTGTTTTAGTACTTTTAATACATTTATACCCCACCTTTCAGTTGAAACAGAGAGCACATGGCTGCTAAAATCAAACGATCCAGCTCCACATATTACAAATAATTTAAAACAATAAAACGGTTTGAAAGGCCAGATGGAAAAGATGTGTCTGCTATTTGTGTGTGCAGGAAGCGTCTGTGCAGTGGGTAAAACCATTCTGAGCCCTTCTAGGAAAGACTGAGATAAATATTTAGCAATCACACTGGAAACAGGAAAATACCATCCTATTTTTAGAATTCCAATTAACGTTTTGCCCTTTTCCTTATCCGAATCCCTGCGTCCTGTTCGGGAGTAAGAGATTCAACAGGTGCAGTTTTTCCACTAAAGACGTAGAGAAAGGGAAGCTTTACCTGTTGGATTTCTGACGAGGTGTCCCACATGGAGCCCTGACAGGCCTGCCGCCGAAGACCCGCCCTCTCCCCAAAGAAGACTCTCTCGCGCCCCGCACCCCCTTGAGTCTTCCTCAAGGCACGTTATATGAATATGCTGTCATTTGTTCCTGCTGCTCTCGCCTCAAATCTGATTCTTACTTCCTTGCGAAGGCGCGCCACAGAAAGCCGGTGGCACTTACTTCTAAGTAGACAAGGCGAGGCTTGCACCCCGGCTGGCAGCTTACCTTAAAAACATCCTGCGAGGCAATGGAGGCAGCGTCCGCCTCGCACACCACCCCTTCGTAAGAAGTTCGCTGCTGCTTCTCCGCGGACTGGAACCACCGCAGGATGATGCGCTTCATGGTGAGCGCGCGATCGGGTCCCCCTCCTCCCGCAGCTGTTTGACTGGCCGCCTCGGCAACCTGTGGAAGAACCGCGCGAGTCAAAGAAGAGTCTCCAAGCCAGGCAAGAGCATGCCGCGCCGGCTGCCTCTCGCCCAGCCAAGCCACTTCCCTCCCGCTGCTTGCCTGAGGCGCAGAGCGCGCCCACCACGGGCGGAAAAGGCGCGCGTTGCACAGACTCTTTTGACCTAAGCCTCTGGCGCCGAAATGTCTGGGGGACGTGAACTAGGTGTGAAGAAGCGGCCGCCGAACGGTATCCTGAGCAAAGGGCGTCCGCCCCTCTGGTTTGCCACTTTAGAGGGCACGGCGGCCCAGCCTTGGCGAGACTTTGAAGGCACCCTCGGTTCCAAAAGCCCGCGCGGCAGCATCAACGGGGGCGAGGGTCTTTGCCTCAAGATGCCCGTGCTAAGGCCAACTACTCAGACACTGGAGTGGCCCGCTGCCCCTGAGCAGCGCATACAGTATTAGAGTCACCCCTCAAGTCGACCTGCGGGAGCGTCTGAATGCAAAGAGCGGGAATAAAAGGCAGAGTACTTCTTAATAAGGAGACAGAGGCTCGTCTACCATGGGGGTCTACAGAAACAGGAACATTGTCCGAGAACTTCCTCAGGAGGACAAGGTAGTGCAAAATATCAAGCACTGGTAGTCTAATTCCCATTTAATATATTGTAACCTGTAAGGAAGTAATTTGTTTATTATTTTATTTATACTTCCTTACATGTTAAATATAATAAAGCCTGCTTGGAATGCTTTTGCCCTCCTGATTGTTTAAGAAACCCTGGGAAGGTTAAAAATAAACCCCCCTGTGTGATAACTAGAGTTTGGAAATAATTTGTTTCAGATAGTTTGTTTATACATTACTTGGATGTATAAGCTGCTTTACATCTAAGACTTTGAAGTGATGCACAGTGGGTTGAGACAAATACAGTAAATATAATGAAGCCTGCCTGCAATGCTTTTGCCCTCCCTGATTGTTTAAGAAACCCTGGGAAGGTTAAAAATAAAAACCCCTAGAGTTTGGAAATAATTTGTTTCAGATACCCCCCTGTGTGATAACTAGAGTTTGGAAATAATTTGTTTCAGATACAGTAGTTTGTTTATACTGTACATTACTTGGATGTATAAGCTGCTTTACATCTAAGACTTTGAAGTGATGCACAGTGGGTTGAGACAAATACAAAAAGTTGCAACAGAAACAAAAATCAAAATAATCGTGGCACCATTCAGCCTAACATTTATTATCATGAGAAAGCTTGTGGGCAATAGTCTACATCTTCAGACAGAATGGCGAAAAGGGACAACAAAAACATATATATTAGGGAAACTGCCTGTCATTTGTCACTTGAGGGCTGGAATCCAAAAACAGAGAAGTGAGATGCATTCCCATCCTCAGTTCCACAGGATTGGTGCCAAGTGTAGTAAAGGCCCTACTTTGTATCTCAAGCCTCATTAGGAGCATCTTCTCTGAGGACATCAGTGTTTGGGTGAGACAAAATGGGAGACGATGTCTGCTGGGGGTGCCCTGGTTCTAAGTTACTTAGAGGTTTGTATATAAGTATCCAAAGCCTCAGCCTGATTTCGCAGCTCATATCTACTAGTTATTGCAGAGCGTGCAGTAAATGTGTTACTTCTGATTAATTCCTTTCCTGGATAACTGCAAATTTTTAGCCATAGAGATGGGTGGCCTAACTTAATGGTGGAGAAGATGTGTTGCATGGTTCAAGGGCTGGCTTATACTGTGCCATAGATTGCTGAATGGAAAACACCCTCCTTTTAACAATAAATAAAAATACCATATTTTTCTGTGTACACAACCCCCAAGGGTATAAAATGACCCCCTAATTTTGACTGTTGATGGGGTGGAGGAGCAGTTAATGTGCAACTACTCCTCCATCTCTGTCTCCTGCTGCCTCCACTGCCCGCCCGATTACCTCCTCCAGCGCAATTGCCGGGGCTCACCTCCAGCTCACGTCACTGCCTTGTCCCCTGCCCTAAGGAGACAATTGCTGGAGGAGATGATCGGGCAGAAGGAAGAGGCACCCGAGCACATGTGAGTGCTTGTTTGCCTTTGCCTCTGTCTCCTGCTGCCTCCACCACCGGAGGGGTCAAGTCGGTGATGTGAGCTGAGCCCGTCAGTCCCACTGGAGATGGTGATCGGGTGGGTGAGGCAGGCAGCAGCAAGAGGCGCCCGAGCACGTGTGAATGCTCCTTCGCCTCCATCTCCGCCTTCTCCTCCTGCTGCTGCTGCTGCCTCAGGGTCACCAGGGGGGACAAGCTGTGAGCTAAGGAAGAGGCAATTGGGCAGTGGCAGCAAGAGGTGCCCGAGTGCGCACGACTGCTTCCTTCCATATATAAAACGACAATCAATTTTCCCTCTAATTATTTTAGGAAAAAGTGTCATTTTATACATGGTAAAATACGTTAAAAATAAATAAATGGGCCCACAAGCAGGCATCTACAAGGAATCTTCCCACTTCTCTCCCCTCATTCAATGCCTCCTTGATAGGGCAGGTTTACAGAAACACAATGCACACAAAAGCACCTCTGCACCAGCTAGGAGTGAGTAGAGATGGATGCCCAGGCTTCAAAACTATCCACATACAGAAAATCTTCCTCCTCTAGTGTTTCTCATCCTGAGATTTGACTCCCACTCACAGAAGCAGAGAGCCTTTGCCATTGCTTGAGCATTCATCTGGTGCCCTGTGACCTAGTGTGGAAGAGGCCATTGGGCAGCAGTGGCAGTGGCAGCAAGAGGTGCCCAAGCGTGCGGGACTGCTTCCTTCTGTGTATAAAATTACACTCAATTTTTCCTCTAATTATTTTAGGAAAAAGTGTTCTTTTATACATGGAAAAATACGGAATTTTATCTGACAAATACTACGCTTGATCTTAGCCAAAAGGCCAAGAAGAAACATATAAAACTGTAATTGCTAACTATATGGTGGTTTTGAAACAGGGATGGTATTGAACTACTTTTAAAAGTAACTTTCCAGGATCTGCTTATACAAGGTCATATATTCAACCCATAATTGTTCATTCTAGCTAGAAGAGAACTTAGGTATTTGGAGGCCCTCCCATCAACTCCTGCCTAATTACTCTCACACAGTGGTCAGGGAACAGGGGTAAATTACCCCAAATGGGATAAAAATGAAAATCATGGGGGTAATGAGTAGAGTGCTACCCCCTGATCCCCCCCACCCCCTGCAGCTGAACCTCAAACTGTAAGTCACCTATCCCTGCTACATTTCCTGGTTGCGGCACTTGTAAAGCAATTCTTTTAGAGACTGGAGATAAGGCTGCTTTATTGGTTATGGCTGTAGAACAGCTGGGGGCAGTCAATCTGGCTTGTGAATGACTACTTCCGCTGGAAGTGGAAAGCTCCAATTAATGCGGGAAGTAATGAGAGAGGGATGGGTGAATTCATCACACTTGTTTAAAGGTAAGATTGTAGAAAATTTAGGGAGGGAGGGAGGGTGTATGTGAAAGAGAGATTGACTTTCATGAAACCATGAAAAAAGGACGTGACTGCAAGGGAGAGAAGGTCTCCAATTAATGGAGGAAGGAAGGTGTGAGAGAGGGACCGGGAGGTTTCATCAAACTTGTTTAAATGTAATGAGAGGAAACGGACATACTGAACTCAATCAAGTGATTGGTGAAAATTTAGGGAGGGTGTGTGTCTGTGTGTGACAGAGAGAGACAGAGACACAGAAAGAGACTTTACTCTTTCATAAAACCATGAAAAAAACAACCTTCCAAATTTAATCTCCACTGCATTTAGCTCTGCAGGTTCTGCTGAAAAGAGCAAGTACTTCTGTTTAGATGCTAAATTTGTACTGTGCAGAACCGGAATATTTAGAAGAGTCCCGCTAACATCAAACACCTAGTAAAAGACAACTGACACATCTGGGACTAGATGTCTGAAGTGTGTAGCAATTGCATTTCTCTATTTCTCATCCCCAAAGCAGGCAAGAGTATCATAGTTTATTCCCCAAATCTGAATCCCTGCCTCTCTGCTTCTGGTCATGCTTTACCTGCATTTCCAAACAAAAGGTCTTACAAACAAAGACTGTGGCTTTCTTTATTGAGTCACTCCATCTCATATGCATTTTCCTCTTTTCCTACTGCATTGTACTTTTTCCAGTGAGCTTGTCTTCTCATGATGCCACTGTAGTACAATACCCTTTGTTTGGTTATTTTAGTTTCTAGTGAGAGTCCACACTTAGTTTGATTTACTGATCGCTCTGACAAGTCATGCTATCTGTAAAACTCTTTTCCCACACTACATTTCAAATAAGTGAAATGTATGTAAAGTGTATACTTTATACTATATAAAGTGTATACTTTATATAGTGTATAAAATGTGTATTAAAAGCCTGCACTCCTGTATAAAGCTGCTTTTCTGAGGGTGGTTTACTTTGGAGGAAATAAGTCCAGGATTTCAATGTACATAATAAGCTTAATAAATGTTGTTGTTGTTTAGTTGTTAAGTTGTGTCTGACTCTTTGCGACCCCATGGACTAGAGCATGCCAGGCCCTTTCACTGCCTCCCGGAGTTTGGTCAAATTCATGTTGATAGCTTCAATGACAGTGAGCAACCATCTCGTCCTCTGTTGTCCACTTCTCCTCTTGCCTTCACATTTTCCCAACATTAGGGTCTTTTCCAGGGAATCTTCTCTTCTCAATAGATGGCCAAAGTACTGGCCCCTCAGCTTCACAATCTATCCTTCCAGTGAGCACTCAGGGTTGATTTCCTTCAGAATGGATAGGTTTGTTCTCCTTGCAGTCCAGGGGACTCTCAAGAGTCTCCTCCAGCACCACAAAAGCATCAATTCTTTGGCGGTCAGCCTTCTTTATGGTTCAACTCTCCCTTCCATACATCGCTACTGGAAAAACCATAGCTTTGACTATGCGGACCTTTGTCGGCAAGGTGATGTCTCTACTTTTAAGATGCTGTCTAGGTT